TTAATCATTCCAATATTGACAGAAATCATTGGATGAAAACAGACCCCCTATAGAGACAGCATTTTTTTTTAATAAACAGATAGTAAAATTACATTTTAAAATTCAGAAATTGCTGCTGTTTTGCACAATGTCCTGCGACTTCAATGTGACTGGCTTATTTTTGCCGCGGTAGGCATTTTTGGCATGCTTAAACACAAATGCTGCCGAGTAACGTGGTTTAGAGGCCTAACTGCAAGCCCTGAAAATGTTTTAATTTTATGATCATTTGGTTTAATTTATTACTCTTATGTTTCAGTTAATAAATAACACATTAAATTAACACAAAGTAAAAGACAAGTAACCTATTGACATAGCCTTTCTAAATTATAGAAAAACTGAGCACATAGCCTAATGTTGAAGTGTACCTACTTTGCTTAATGGGGGGGTTGACTGCTTTTTTTTCTGTGCATGATTATGCTTATGGGGTGCAATATAACATGTATTCGTGTTTTTTCTTTTTTAAAAAGTCTTATTTTTCATAAACTTCACCTTTATTGTAAGCCACGCTCTCCTCTGTCCCCTGAACGAGCGGTTGACTTCCTGAGTCTATGAAACCACTCCCTCAGAAACTTGTGGTGGGCTCAGATTGGTTCGTTTGGGCGGGTGTGTTGTGATTGACTAAACTGTCGCTCACGTTGTCCGGAAGGTTAACGCCCATTACCTTTACGGGCGAAACGGGCATGCCAAAGGTGGATACCATAGACATAGACGGTGGATACACGTACCTGTAAATAATGATGTCGAGACTGCAGTAGGCTATCAGTGAGGCAGAATCAGACGAGAAAGCCGCGATGAAGAAAGTCAAGCAGAACCTCACCACACACGGTTCTTACTAAACGTTTCTGAATGATAATTTGCCACATTTTTTAACCATATGTACGTTTGTTTTACACAATAGCATCTGACTGGCAACGATAGCAACTGACTGGCTACTAATGTTAAACACAAACAGCGTTGGCAAGTTTACGTTCTTGATCGAATTGAAAATAACGTCATAAAGCATATACACATGAAAAATACATTTACAACATTAGTACTTATACAAAATTCAGGTCCACAATGTTTGTACGCAGTGGTCGTAGACACAAAATACTAGCATAACTAGTAGCCTAGTGGCTATAAAGCGCTGGCATTTGAGAAAAAAAATAAAAATAAAACACAGGCTAACGTTATGTCTGGAATTATACATGCAAATACAAAGCTGTCTTCCGTAAAATGCGCAGCACAGAGAGCTAGATTACGATCGTCACTTTCAGGAATATAATCAAACATAAATTGTATCCATTGTTGACGAAGTAACATCCGTGGGAAGCTCGAACACAGAAGACCTGTCAGCTGGGTGAACACAACTCACTCGACGTGCTGCAAAAATATGCGCATGCCCTTTCCTGCATATTCCGAAGGGAGTGGTTGATGCAAATGTGTGGGTTAGTGACGTACCATAACCCAGCTGTAGTCCAAATCGAGTCGTTTTTGTAGGCGTTTACACTTCCTGGTTTTTAAAAGACGATATCTCTGCTTGCATTGAACTTTCAGCGCTGCAACTTTGCAGACTGTTCATGCACCATCAGCAACATTACACACTATTTAAAATGAAAAAAGTGAAATCGCAGTCAACCCCCCCTTTAAATTTGATGGAATAACAGAGGTCTATTTTTACTTCACATTTATTTCATTTTTAATTTACTTTTTTCATAATTGTTATTATGAATTCGTTTAACTACAATGTTAACCTTGAATTAATCTGCAACCTCAGCTCTCAATGAGCAGTGGCAAATTATGTCGGACACTTTAAATAAATAAACAGTTAATAAACTCGCTAATAAATAAGCTTCAACGGTAAAACATAAAAGCTGTAGGCCATAAGCATGTAATGAGGTTCGATCTCGGGTCGTTTGGAGGCACATGAAGTCGAGGTTAATGCGTTAACCACAGAGCTACCATTAAACTGCTGATGCATCACCGTCTTATACGCTTGTAAAGCCTCAGTGATGTAGCCTAATATGTTTCTACTGCAATGTTTTACGTTTTCATTATTTATTCAATTTAATTTCAGTATTGTGATTAATTAATTCATTAATTAATTTAACTACGTTTCATTGAATTAATCTGCTACCAACTTTCAATTGCTCTGAATGAGCCGCGGCTCGGCTGCAGGAGATTACACAAAAAACGAACACTTTTCAAAGTCTGTGATTGTAGCGCCTCTTAGCGGCAAAAGGCAGTAAATACACCCCAAGTTTTACCGCCGCAGCAGAACTGCAGCGGTAAAAAACACATTCTGGTTGATTACCTACTGTATTTATCCACATATACTGACCCAGATAATCATCACAAAAACTTAAAGGCACTCTATGCAAGATCTGTACCTTAATATAACAGCTTCAAAGTCGTTTCGGTGGTAAACAAAGTCATAGTAGGGCGAATCATCCTGGTAGTGAAGCTTGGCGCCGCCGGAAAAACCAGCCATGCAAGTTTGAGAGTGGCGCCCCTGACACAGCTTGTGAGAATCACGAAATGGTTTACGGCAGCGACGTCACACACATAAACAACAACATACTGTATGAAGCTACTTTTGCGCATCCAAGAAAACTCGGTCAGAAATGTCCAGAAAAAGGGAAAGAGAATCGGACCGTGCAAGAAACAGGACAAGAGTCCACTCGGTCGGGCTTTCACTCGTTGGCGCGAGCTTAAAAGCAGCACTGGATTGTAACTGCGACGCTGACCTGGTGATCTTGTTGATGGACTTAAATCTCTCTTACTCTGGAAGTAAATCTCTTATTTGTAAACTTGTTTGCATTCTATGTTGTATGTTGCTGCGCTGGCTTGTAGTATGTCATTTTTTACGGTGCTGTTTATTCACCCGTTGTTGATAATTAGACCAGTAATGTCTAGCTAGCTTTCGATTACCAGAGCTGTAGACTTCCTAACAAACAGTCGTTTATCTTAGTCTTGTTGTTTTTTTTCGTTATGTTTTATTGCCGAGCTTGCCACAAGAGCTAGTTTGCCAGCTGAACTCAGGTGTTGTGATGTGTATTTATCACGTAACTTTAGTCCTGTGTTTGGTTCGGATTTCTTATGGCGTGCATGGTTACTGTTATATAAACTTTATCTGACTAACAGTGCACTTCCCGACTGTAACTTTACTTCAAATTGTGTTGATTATGAATCAATTAAACCTTGACGCTGTTGATGTTGATTCTTGCGATTATCACGAGGACATAGTTAATATCTCACATAATTATTAGTACATATATAAGCCTAGAGGTTGAAAATAATTGAACACAATTTGCTATAATGATAAATTGTAATAATCATGTCCAATGAAATCATAACGGCCAGTGTAATGAAATAATGTCGAACTTTATTGATGTCATCTGACATTTTGTAATGTTTACATTACAATCAAAAAACATAAATGAAATTGTAGTCCAAAAACTATAGGCTATTTACTTCTGATTTTGCAGAAATCATGTAAAAACGTTATAAGCCAGCAAACGCGATAGGCAAATTTATAATTAAAAAGCAGTCTAACACTTGACAGTAGTTCAGTAGATATGCAGTAATGGCAATAACGGTTTTTTACGACAGTGCAAGCACCACAGCGGCTCTAGAGGTCACTGTTTTACAAAAAAAATCTGAGATTGCATGGTGTGGCTTTAATGCATGCTCAATTGCTGTAAATTATTTTTTTGAATGAATGGCTAGCTCTAACTGTTGCTCTGGTCTTCTTCAACAACACACGCTTGTACCTCCTGCTGGTGAGGTCAACTAACAGCAGATGGAGAGTATGCTCGGTAATCTACTGCTTTTCCTGCAGTTCCTGGATGTCAACGTTGAATTTACTGTCGAATTTGAACCACTGAATTTGTGGAAGTGAATTTGCAAAGCAAAATAAAATGGACCGAAAATTGCCTGTTGAATATTATAGGTTGTATTTTTAAACAGTTTTAATATTTTGGAGGTGAAATATGTGGTAAATATGGATTATTGAATGTTTAATCATGAAAATGTGTTTGAAATATTTTGAATTGAAATATTCACAGCTTAAACATTCAATCATGCTGAATTTCATCCCATACAAAGCATGGTTAATGCAATGTCTATCTATCACTTAGTGCAATTCAACAGGCTTTTATGTTTCAAAAACATTTGGCATTACTTTACTTCCATAGACAAGTACGATCACAGAGGAACATTCAAATCTATATTGGCGCTGCTGTTGACCCAGAGAGAGCAGTCATGTATAAGTATGAAACAGCTTAACAAACATTTTTCAACCACACAGTATAATTATTTCTGTACAATAATTTTAATTATCACATGTAGTACTGGGATATAAATTTATAGTTTTGAAATAAACACTGAACCACACCAGAACAGACTCCACTTTCTAGAGGGGGCTCTAGCCTGATTGATGGTATCTATCACCACTGGTGATAATCTACTCAAGTCTTCCACATCCCGTCCAGGGGCCAGACGTGGAGATGCCAGAGGCGTGGGTATGGGTGAGCTTGCACAACACCTGTGCAGTAGGCTTTCAGAGGGAAACACATATTTGTATAGACCCCGAGGCTAGCTGTTTACCAGTGCATCCATGCTGAGACGGGCATCAATCAGGGAATACTAAAGAGGACAATGGGAGTATTCCCGGAAAGCGAACAGATCCATTTGTGCTTCGCAGAACTGACTCCAGATCAACTGGACCCCTGTGTGTGGAGTCTCCACACACCTCGAAGTGTCATTTGCCCTGACAGAGCGTTCTGAAAAATATCTATTTCAGAAAGTAGCATATTTTTGCTGATAACTTTTGGAACAGCCTTTGGAATCCTAGTTGAGAGATTCACTATGTTTCACTATGTTCGTGGTGCAATGAAATTGAAACATCACTTTGCACAATCTGTGTTGACATTTTTTTAAAAATGCATATAAAAGTTTTTTTTAATAGTATGGTTACTGACCTCCATTGGTGCCATGTGCGAGGTGGGGTGGCACAGTGATCTCTCTCCTCTCTAACACACACATTCCCTGCAAACCTTCATCCAGACCAGAGATCAACTTCCCTTGACCTAACGTGACACGCGGGGGTTCTGGGTAGTCATCTCTGCAGACAATACAAGAGATGACAAGACAATATGAGCTAATTGTGGAAAATATAAACTACTTATGAGTAATATTGATTGATAATATCTTAGTCTACAAGCTAATGAAATGTCATGTGGCATGTCATGTGGAAATTCACGTCTTTTCAGTATCTATTTTTGTGTGAAAAATTAAAACACAAAAAGTGTCTCAACTGTACCCAGTCTACCCTAAAACTCAAAAACTCATAAACAACTTGCATTATAAACAGACTTTCACTAATCCACTAAAAACAGATACATCCCGTATCTATCCGGTTTAGATACGGGATGCATTGTTTTTAAAAGGACTTCACATACAAATAATAATAATAATAATAAATATAGCCTAACACAAAGTTATAGGCCTATAAAAATAAAACATTCAGAAATTGTTTTATGATTAACATATTCCTGTCTTAAGTGAACTCATTTAAAGTTATAAACGCAAATAATAGGCCTAATAATAATATGCTATTATTATTACATTTAGGCTACATATTTAGACGCTTAAAAAATGAAACAAAGCAATTCGTCAAATGTCAGTCATAATACAGGTTAGACAATAATAAAACAGGGCTGAGATTATCACAAATAAACACAAGATTTTGACGCATAGGCTATCCAAGTGTTTGTGCACAAAAAATAAATAACATTGACTTTTTGCCTTTAGTAAACATTTAAAATATTCGCAAATAAATATGAAAAAAAAAAAAAAAGATTTTACTTTCTAAAAACTATATTTTGCCCGCAGTGCTAAATGAGAAGAGCATGTCTCAGGAACCATAGAGAGAGATGATTTATAGGTGATTTATAGGCTAATCATAATAAATGTGTCTGAAAAATAACGACGTTTTCTTGTTATTGTGAGTTTACACAAATAAAAGTAGTTGCAAATAATGTATTATGTATTATGCATTTTTTTTCTGTATGACCAGAAATGTTAGATTATTTTAAATTGTTCCACTGTTGATAGGAACATGCAAGTGTTTGCGGCCGCGGCAGTGACATGCAGTGCGCACTTCACACAAACAGTTGGATATGCGTTAACAACCTGTGTTTGTTTGTTAGAATCTTAGCCCATTATTATTGTCTAAGACTGACATTTGACGAATTGCTTTGTTCTTTTTTTTTTTTTGTGGATAAAAGCGTCTTCTGAATAGGTCTATGTAGCCTAAATGCATTTTGATTTGATAGCTAATTATTATTTGCGTTTATTACTGTAAGAAAAAATGAAGTGGACATTGAAGATCTCAAAAATGAAGTTTATTACAGCATCAAAAATGAAGTTTATTACAGTCGCAAGGCACACAAAGCACCTTGGGTTCACCGGCGTCAGAATGAATCTTCAACCTTTTATCCCGTTACTGTCCTCTTAATGTAAATGAAGTAGCTCTTGTTGTAACAGCTGTGTTCTGTCTTTGATCTTCTTTCAAATAAGAACGGCCAAATGTTTAAAGTAATTACGGCCAAATGTTTAAGGTGATAACATCTCTTTGAAGCCCCCTAATCAAGATGGTTCTTGAATTACCCACTGTCTTTCCCACTCTATAGGTGATAAACATGACTCTGCGATTCGTTTAAGATTGTAAGGAATTGATTATATGATAAATAAGCTCTTTTAAGTGAAGGAACATTTCAATATAATCTATATTGGGGTGGAAGTTTGATCGGAGCAGACTATAATTTCTTACAGTCCCCCGTTTGATGCTCTTGGCCACAAGTAGCATCACATCCACTCCCTTTTCCTAAATAACACTTCCCTTTCCTGGTGGGCAGGTGCCCAGTGGCGGTGCCACCCTGGCTTAGGTTGCTCCCCTATGGCCATCAGAGAAATCTTACCCGTCATCGGAATCACACTGGTTACAGCTCTACTTCACTTGAGCAGACTTATCATAGTTTGTGTTTGAATTTTTTTCATTTTTTTTTGGAAAAGTATTTCTTGGGTTTGAGAGAGGTAATCAAGAACCATCACATCCAACGGGAACATCCAATATTGATCAGAGAATTATCTTCAGCCTGATGTTTCAACATGGAACACAACATAACATAATGGACTGACCGATAATAAGAATGATACATACAGTACACAAACAGCATTTTTAAAGGTAACATCCCAAAGTAGAATAGGCAATAGCTAAGCTCTCACAGTGTGAATCAGTGATGTTAGCATATTGGTTTAGTTTTGATAACTCAAACATTCAACAATCAATAGACAGTATAGTGTGTGTGTGTGTGTGTGTGTGTGGTTTTTCATTTTCACAGTGTGGACATCCTTTATCCACATGTGTGCATCCACTTGACAACAATATATCTAATGCAAATGAGTATACTTGTCTCTTCATGTTCAGTCTTTGTGTCTTTGTGCATTTCTTAGAGTGGGGTATGTCCTCTGCACACTTGTTTTCCATCAATGTGCAAAGACTGCTGTCCGTAGTCTCTGAAAAAGTTTGATCTCTTCTCGTTTCTTTTCTCATTGTCCATTCTTTTTCACATGGACCATAAGTCGTTGCATAAGAAGCTGTCACTGGTGTTGTTCGAATCTGTGCCTCTTCATCAGTTCTATCCAAAGCATGGTGGTTCTCAGGGTTTCTAGATCTTTCAGGCCTGGATTTCTGGATCTTGTAGGTCTGGAAATCTCTGTATTCTATTCTTTTCTTGAGAGAATCCCCTGGCTCCACTGGTTCTACTTCCTTCTTTTCCTTCAAATGACCATGTCATCTTTCTCCAGGATGTTAACCGTTTCAGGCAAACATCTCGATGCTTATATCTGAAACACTGATCAAAAGAAGAGGTTGCCCCCCTTTCCCCCACAATCATCTTTTCACATTCAAATATCAAATTCACAGAAGTTTAATCTCAGAACATCAAACATCGGTAACGTTTTACAATTTTTTTTATTTCTAAACATAATGCCATTAAAACATGTGTTATAAATTACAACTTGTAACGAACGAAACTGTGTATTTACATGCATCACATTATAAGTGCAGTGTGCCCTTTAAGAGTATGATCGCGTTATACATGAAAATGTACATGAAAATGTACATGAAAATGTACATGAAAATGCGCTATGAGTAATGACGCTGTTGAGTTGAGTGTTTGTGAGATCCACCGTAGATGCTAGCGTGCTCTACCTCTTTATATACTTTTGTTTTCACCAGTTTTATTTTGTGACGCTGAAAGAGTAATCTCTCGTGTTTATTTTGTGACGCTGAAAGAGTAATCTCTCATGTGTGAGAGGATCGCGTTGCCTGGGTTACCTGCCATTAAATGTGCGTGATACAGCCTTTACGCCTCTAAACTCTTTCTTTTATTGAATTCGTGAGAGCTATCCTGGTAAAAGCCTTACAATTGGCGCCCGAACAACTTGAAGCTGGATCCGTCATCTACGTGGAACCTGATTTTCTTCATCTCCTGTCGAATGTGGAGGTCGTTGGAACGATCCGACTGGTACGACCGAGACTGGTGTGATTAGCGTGCTAATGCTGGACGACAGGTGCGCGGACCACATGCTGTGCTGAGTGAGCGGTACATTTTCCACTTCAGTTTGATTGTTTTGTTTCTTCGTCGAAATAACCGCGTGCTTCGTCATTTTTTTCCCTATATCGATTGTTTGTCGATTTGAAACGGAGATTTCTTTTCCCCACCGTCTCTACTGAGAGTGCTACGTTTTTTTTCCCTTCATAACTGGTTTCAAACGAAGATTGACGTTTTTGCTCGTTATTTTTGTGGAAATTTCAGCAGAAATATATATATATTTTCCTCTTTTTTTTTTTTGCTTGGGGTGTGGAGACATGGACTATGTTTCGTGCTCAAACGGACAGTGCGGCCTATTCGCTTTTGTCTGAACTGTATTTGTGAGCATGGATGAGACGGACAATTGTTGAACTTTTTTTACGTTTTTATTTTTTCTCCAAATTCATCGTGAACTGAACTTGCTTGTGCGAACTGGGCGATTTCTAACTTTTTGGACTCATTTACATGGTCAGGTGACTTTGTGAACTTTCAATTCATTTTGAAGCAGCGTGTTCCTTTGCCCTGTGTATGCTGATGGACAATATAATAACTGAACTCACATAAAAGGGAGTACATTTTTATGTTTTTGGGTGACATTTGCCATTTCACAGTTAAGTGAAGGATTATGGATTTTTTTTTTCTAAGTTTCATCTGATGGTGTGTAAATTTTAATGACAATTTATTTTTCTGGGTTACATTGTGAATTTTTCAGTTGTTGTACCGCTGTTTATGTGAATGCACAGTTACTGTGATGGCTTACTACCCAGACTTTAAGACTGACTTGACCTACTCATTGCCAGACTCTGTTCCCAGGCGGAGACAAAAGTCAGCGCAGCCTGCTGCAGTGAGTCTGGAGACTCAAGTGGAACTTCTACAAGCGGAAGTATCGGTGCTACAACAGTGTCTCAATGACTCTCTCCAGTTGCAGCAGAGCATATTAAGAAGGTTTGGACCTCAGAATGTGGACACCCTTGCAGCGCCACACGACCAGCCGCCTCCTGTAGCCAGTTCTACGCCACACATCCGTGTTTCACCAAGCCAGGTGCCACTACAAGGTACATCTACTGATAATGTTTCCCTAAGAAATGTGACACTCACCACAGGTTAATTCGTCTGACGTGAGTAATACTAGTAGAATCCTTGCATCCGTGCTGCACCAGTCAAGGCTTGATCCACCTTTATTTGCAGGAGATGGACGTGTTAGCCCAGAGGACTGGCTTCAATCAGTCAATGTTTATAGGACCTCACTTGACTTGACCGATGCCCAAATTCTCATCGAGCTGCCTCGATTTTTGGCAAAGGAACCGAAAAAATGGTTCACAGTCCTTGACTCTCATGTCGGCACATGGGCCCAGTTCTGTGATTTCTTCAGGACAGTCTTCCTTCCCTCCAATAGTCAAGAACAAATAATGAGGGGAATCCTAGACCATATACAGGGTCCCGAAGAGCCCCTCCCTACTTTTGTGGCCCACATGTGAGTTCAGGAAGCTGAAAACCCCCCTACCCGAGCAAGAACAAATCGACCTCATTTCTAAACATGCTCTTGAGAAATACAGAGTTGCACTCAATGGAACCTCTGTTTCCTCAGTCATGGATCTCCTCCTGAGGGCTCATGAGCTCCATGCGGTTCTTCGACTAAGTAATTGTTTCCCAACTTCAGGGCAGAGTAAAGCTAAAAGTGA